GCATGTATCCCTTCAAATTTGTAGTTTTGTATCCTTTGGATAAATACCTAATAGTGCAATTGCTAGGTCGTACGGTAGTTCTGTTTTTAACTTTTTGAGGAACCTCCATACTGTTTTCCAGAGTGGTTGTACCAGTTTGCATTCCCACCAACAGTGTAAGAGGGTTCCCCTTTCTCCACATTCTTGCCAACATCTGTTGTTTCCTGAGTTGTTAGTTTAGCAATTCTGACAGGTATGAGGTGGTATCTCATTGTGGTTTTGATTTGTGTTTCCCTGATGATAAGTGATGTTAAGCATTGTTTCATATGTCTCTTAGCCACTAATGCAACAGATTTCTATACATTTATTTTGCCCTGTGACTCTACTGAATTCATGTATCAATTCTAGCGATTTTTTGGTGGAGTCTTTTAGATTTTCTATATAGAGTATCATATCATCTGCAAATACTGAAAGTTTGACTTCTTCCTAATGATTTGGATGCCTTTTATTTCTTTGTGTTGTCTGACTGCTATGGCTAGGACTTCCCGTACTATGTTAAATAACAGTGGTGAGAGGGGCATATGGATGGTACAGTCAGTTAAGTGTCCGACTCCTGGTTTCATCTTAGGTCATGGTCTCAGGGTTATGAGATAGAGCCCCATGTTGGGCTCTGCACTCAGTGTGGAGTCTACTTAAGTCTCTCTCTGCCCCTCCCACTCGTGCTCTCTAATAAATAAATAAATCTTTAAAAAAAAATAACAGTGGTGAGAGTGGACATCCCTGTCTTATTCCTAACTGTAGTGGAAGAGCGCTGTTTTTCCCTATTGAGGATGATAATAGCTGGGTTTTTCATATATGTTGGCACCCTTATCAAAAGTCATTTGACTATACATGTGAGGGCTTATTTTGGGGCTTTCTATTTTCTATTAGTCTGTATGTCTATCTTTATGGCAGTATCAGACTGTTTTGATTACTGTAGTTTGTAGAAATTTCTGAAATCAGGAAGTGTGAGACTTTGTTCTTCCTTTTCCAGATTTGTTCTGGAACTTTGATCTTCCCTTTCAGGATTATTTTCACTATTTGGGGTCTATTGATTTTCCATATGAATTTTTGCATCAATTTTTCTTATTTCTGGAAAAAAATAACATCATTGGGATTTGATAGGGATTGCACTGAATCTGTAGATAGCTTTAGGTAGTATGGACATCTTAGCAATATTAATGTTCTAATCCATGAATTCAGGATATCTCCATTTATTTACATATTATTTGATTTCTTTCAGCAATGTTTTGTAGTTTTCACTATACAAGTCTTTCACCGCCTTGATTAATTCCTGTTTTATTCTTTTTTATGCTATTGTAAATAGAGTTGTTTTCTTAATTTCCTTTTCAGATTGTTCATTGTTCATGTATAGAAATGCAACTGATTTGGGTGTGTTGACTTTGTATCCTGCTACTTTGCCGAATTTGTTTATTAGTTCTAATGGGTGGTGGGGGCATGTGGAGTCTTTAGTATTTCTAATACAAGAGAATGTCATCTACAAACACATAATTTTACTTCTTCCTTTATAATTTGGATTTTTAAAATTTATTTTTCTTGACTAATTGTTCTGGCTAGAACATCCGTACTATATTGACTAGAAGTGGTGAAAGTATGCATTCTTGCCTTGCTTCTGGAAATCTTAGAGGAAAGCTTTCAGTCTTTCACCATTAAATATGATTTTAGCTATGGGCTTTTCATATATGGCTTGTATTATGTTGAAGTAGTTTCCTTCTATTGCCAGTTTGTTGAGTGTTTTTATCACGAAAGGGTGTTGGATTTTTTTTTTTTTTAAGATTTTATTTATTTATTTGACAGAGAGACACAGCGAGAGAGGGAATACAAGCAGGGGGAGTGGGAGAGGGAGAAGCAGGCTTCCCGCTGAGCAGGGAGCCTGATGCGGGGCTCAATCCCAGGACCTGGAATCATGACCTGAGCCGAAGGCAGACGCTTAATGACTGAGCCACCCAGGCGCCCCAAGGGTGTTGGATTTTTGTCAAATGCTTTTTCTGCACCAATTGAAATGATCATGTTTTTTTCCTTCATTCTATTAATGTGTGTTACATTAATTTTTGCTGAACCATCCTTGCATTCCAGCAATAAATTCCACTTGGTCATGGTGTATAATCCATATAATATGGTGTTGAATTCAGTTTGCTAGTATTTGTTGATGTTTTTTACATCAATTCTCATAAGAGATATTGGTCTCTAGTTTTCTTATGGTATCTTAGTCTGGCTTTGGTATCAGAGTAATGATGGCCTCATAGAAGGAGTTTGGAAGTCTTCACTCCTCTTCATTTCTTTGGAAAAGTTTGAGGAGGATTTGTGTGAGTTCTTTAAATGTGTGATAGAATTCACCACAGACACTATGTGGTCCTAGGCCTTTTCTTGTTAGAAGATTTTGGATTACTGATTCAGTCAACTTACATTAACAGCTATACATTTCCCTTTTAGCACGGCTTTTGATGCATCCCATAATTTTTGGTATGTTATATTTTTATTTCCATTGGTTTCAAGATAGCTTGTGATATCTTCTTTGACCCATTGGTTGTTTCAGTGTTTAATTTCCACATATTTGTGGATTTTTTCCAGTTTTCATTTTGCTATTTATTGCTAGTTTCATTTTATTATGATTGAGAAAGATAATTTGTATGATTTCAATCTTTTAAAATTTATTAATGCATCTTTTATGGACAACACATAGTCTATCCTAGATACATGTTTACTTTTTTGATATACTTTAGGATTTAAAAAAATTCTTACAGTCAGTTTGCCAAACTGCAAAATCTGAGAGAACAGTCTACACAAGAGTGTGCTTATTTCAGACACCAACTGCAAGTTTGGATCTTCAGGGCCACACTCATTTCTGACATGCTGGCTACTGCTAAGGGAGTACCTGCAGTAACCCTCACGTTTGATAATTCACAACAGTGACTCACAGAGGTCAGGAAAGAACTATATTATGATTACAGTTTTATTTTAACAAAAGATACAAAGAACCAGCCAAAAGTAAAGACACCAAGAGCAAGGTCTGCAAGAGCTGCAAACACAAAGGGGCCCTCCAGACATTTCAGTGTTCAAAAGAATAGGCTCTCAAGAGAGCATCATTGTACAGGGTTGTTTGTGTTTCGGTTTCATTATGTAGGCATGATTGAGTGAGTCATTGCCCAGTGCCCAACATGATTCAATCACCAGCCTCATTCCCTTCCCAAAAGTCAAACTGATATCATGGTGGCTCAAAGCACCAACCCTTTAAGTCACGTGGTTGGTCTTTCTGGCATGGCTGGCCTCCATCTTAAATCATCACATTAGCAAAAACTATATAGGGGCATGTCATGAGTCATAAACTATAGTTACAAACTAGCAGATGTGGTCCAAGGGGCTCACTATGAATAACAGTGACACTCCTTCCAGGAATATAGAGGATTTAGAAAAAAAAAAAAAGAACACCTAAAGTAATTTACAAAACGTGGAAATGAATAACAATGAAAACACTAACTGCCAAAATTGTAGGACACAACCTATGTAGTAGAGGGTAGTAGTGCAGCTTCAAGTACATTTATCAAGAAAAACAAAAACCTGGGGTGCCTGGGTGGCTCAGTTGTTAAGCGTCTGCCTTTGGCTCAGGTCATGATCCCAGGGTCCTGGGATCGAGCCCCACATCGGGCTCCCTGCTCGGCGGGAAGCCTGCTTCTCCCTCTCCCACTCCCCCTGCTTGTGTTCCCTCTCTCACTGTGTTTCTCTCTTTCAAATAAATAAATAAAACCTTAAAAAAAAAAAAACCTTAAATTTATTATATTCAAAACTGAATTCCAGATCTTCCATCTCTCTCCACCTAAACCTGCTGTGCCCAATGGCCTTCCCTTTCACTGCTGATGGCTAATCCATCCTGCCATTGCTCAGACCGTAAAACTTGATGGCTTGCTTATCTCATTTTTCTGTTACATTTCATATCCAATCTGTCAGGATATCCTCTTGGCATTTCCTACAATATATACCTAGAATCTGACCATCTCGCTATACCTCCATTGATAGCTCCTTGGTCTGGTTACTTATCATCTTCACCTGGATTACTAAAATCATAGGTCCCCTTGCTTCTTCCCTATTTGCCACCTTTCAGTATATTTATTAAATTGTAAATAGATATCACTCCTCTACTCCACAAACACTTCAGTAGTTCTCTATCCCACTCAGGGTAAGAGCCAAATTCCTTAGAAAGCATATAAAGCTTAAATAATCTTTTTTCTCCTGACTTCATCTACTACACCTCTCCAGCAACACTGGCCTTCTTGCTATTCTTCAAACATAGCAAACATGCTTCTACTTTTAGTCTGTTTCCTTTGCCTAGAATGCTCTTTCTCCATATAACTAAGTGACAAACTTCTTCACTTCCTTCAAATCTTTGCTTAAATGTTAACTTACTAATTATTCCTACCTCTTGCTTCACCAACATTCCTAATCTCTTTTACCCTGCCTTTCATTTTCTGTAGCACTCAATTTACTCATTTAGCATTTATTTTCTATCTCTCCTAAGAATATAAGGTCCACAAAGGTAAGGATCTTTGTTTTGTTTACTATAATATCAAAAGCATTTAGGAGAATATATGGCACAAGTTTCAATGAATATTCTTGAAAGAAGCAACTATAAAAATGGAGGTTATTTCACTGCCTATGTTATTCATACATGCATAAAATTATAACCAAGTCCTTCCCCCTCTATAATTCCTTATTGACCTGAGATTTACCTTACTGACTTTCTTAAAATTCTATTCATTCCTCCTCAAGTTTCTGTGTGACCTATTTTCAGTTTCTTGCAAACATCAGAATTACAAAAGCAAATGTTTTTGTAGTTTTATTTAATTAATTAATTAATTAATTAATTAATTATTAAATTCACATACTTCACTTTATGAATGTACTTTCACAAATGTTCCTTCTGGTACATGATAGAAGAGACATTTTTTTAAATTACTGTTTTTCAGGCTGGGAATCTATGTGTGAGACTGAAGAATTAACTTCAAAGCAGGACATTTATGAAGCACAATCATCACAAAAGATAACAGAAAAACTCACAAGCTATGGCCTTGAGTATTCCAGTTTGAGAGAAGAATGGAAATGCGAGGGCCATTTTGAGAGACAGCCAGTAAATCAGAAAGCATGTTTCAAGGAAGAGACAATCACTCATGAAGAAGCCCTCGTTAATAAAAGAGCACAAGAATATAACAAATCTTGGGGAAGTTTCCATCCAAACACACTGCTTCATACACAACAGATAATCACCAAAGAGGAGAAAGTACATAAGCATGATACACATAAGAAAAGCTTTAAAAAAAATTTAATGGCCATTAAGCCCAAGAGTATCTATACAGAGAAGAGACTCTTGAAATGTAATGACTGTGAAAAAGTCTTTAGCCAGAGCTCATCTCTTACACTTCATCAAAGAATTCATACTGGAGAGAAACCATATAAATGTGTAGAATGTGGAAAAGCCTTCAGCCAGAGATCAAATCTTGTTCAACATCAGAGGATTCATACTGGAGAGAAACCCTATGAATGTAAGGAATGTAGGAAAGCCTTCAGTCAGAATGCACACCTTGTTCAACATCTGAGAGTTCATACTGGAGAAAAACCTTATGAATGCAAGGTGTGTAGGAAAGCCTTTAGCCAGTTTGCTTACCTTGCTCAACATCAGAGAGTTCATACTGGAGAGAAACCTTATGAATGTATTGAATGTGGGAAAGCATTTAGCAATAGATCATCCATTGCTCAACACCAGAGAGTTCATACTGGTGAGAAACCATACGAATGTAATGTCTGTGGGAAAGCATTTAGCCTTCGTGCATACCTTACTGTACACCAGAGAATACATACTGGAGAGAGACCCTATGAATGTAAGGAATGTGGGAAGGCTTTCAGCCAGAATTCACATCTTGCTCAACATCAGAGAATTCATACTGGAGAAAAACCTTATAAATGTCAAGAATGTAGGAAAGCATTCAGCCAGATTGCCTACCTTGCCCAACATCAAAGAGTTCATACTGGAGAAAAACCCTATGAATGTATTAAATGTGGGAAGGCTTTTAGCAATGACTCATCCCTTACTCAACATCAGAGAGTTCATACTGGAGAGAAGCCTTATGAATGTAACGTTTGTGGAAAGGCTTTTAGTTACTGTGGATCCCTTGCCCAACATCAGAGAATTCATACTGGAGAGAGACCTTATGAATGTAAGGAATGCAAGAAAACTTTCAGGCAGCATGCACACCTTGCTCATCATCAGAGAATCCATCTTGGGGAGTCCCTCTCACCACCCAATCCAGTCAATCACCAAGTCCTCTAGACACTATCTCATAAATATTTCCAGAATTTATACTCTTTTCTCTTATCTCAAATGTTGTTGCCCTAGTCTAAGATTCATCTCACCTGCATCACCATGCTGTAGCTTTCTAACAGGTCTTCCTGTATCAACTTTTGGTCCCTTTAAATTCATTTCCTGTCATGCCCCAAGCTGATTTTTTTGAGTGTAAGAATACATCACTGCCTCCAATTAAAACTTTTTTGGGGCTTACTATTGTTCTTAAGCTAATATCCACAGTCTTAAAATTGTCTATGAGGCACTTCATTATCTGGTTCTATACCTTTCAGCCTTATTTTATTCCAGTCTCCTTCTCTGAGCACTAGGCACTTCCCAGGACTAAGAGCTTAGATTCTGGAAAATCATAGCTCTACCACTACTGTGGTATTATGTGACTTTGAGTAATTTGTTTGACTTATCTAAACCTCAGGGTTTTCTTTAATTCTTAAAATAGGGATAATAAAGGATACTTATTGTAGAAATGTGATTATTAAATGAAATAGTATCTGTTGTAGATTGATGCATATTAATAAATTTGCATGTAAAGTGCTTCACATAGCACATCAAACATAGCAGATATTCAATAAATCATTAATAGCTAACATGTATTGAGTGCCTACTATGCACCAGGCACTGTTCTACATACTCAACATATATTAACTCACTTACTCCTCCCAGCTAGAACAAGATTCCTCAGTGGACAAAGGAGAACATCCCTGGGAAGCAGCAGGTCAGAACTGAGAAAACCCCCAAATTTTAGAAACTTAAGTGGGAGTCTTCATACTCTAGATAAGTAATCAATATAGACACAAGTAGTAGACCTACACCTACAACCAGTTTTAGGAAGTTTCTAAAGAGAATTGGATAAACCAATCAATATAAAGAAAATGAGGATTCACAGAGAGGAATATAGAACTCAATTTAGATCAAGAAAAAGAACAGAGTATCACAATTAACTCCAAAAAAAAAGGCACCAGGCCCAGGCAATTGTATTGGGTGAATCTAGGTAAATTTAAGAAGTATTTAAATTGTTCCATACCACAGAAAAAGTATAAAGTTTGTAAAATTTTTAACCAGTGGCTGTAAAATTGAAATGAAAAGGGGATTGAGGGAAAAAAGTTACAGACAAATATATATAGGCTTTTACATATTTGAAATATATGCTTCCACTCATTCAGTGAATATTGAGTAGCTACCATTTGCTGGACACTGTTTTAGATATGAGGAGACAATAGTGACCAATACTAAGACTATGTCCTCATGGAGTTATTTAAAGTTATTTAAAGCTGAAATTCAAATTGTTTATAGTTAAATATAAAACAATAGATTCTCTAGACTTAGCAAAATGAAGAATAATAAACAGGAGTAGCATATAATCTAGGCTGAAGAGACTCAGGATAATAATGTTATGTTATTCCTAATTTACAAATTCTCTGCAATTAGAACCAAAATTCCTCAGGTCTTTTTGCCCTTTAATTTCACAACTTTGTTCTGAAATTCATCTATGAAGTGTGAATTCTTAAGACAGCAAGAAAATTGTTGAATCTGACCTACTTGTAGAAATTCTGCATATGATAAAGATGGTTTATACCTGTAAATAAAGGATGGATTTGGGTTTATTAGAATAATTGTATCCATTACAGTAAGGGAAATGCAAATAAAACCACAGTGAAGTATGTCAAAATCATCATATTGGCAAAAGCGTTATAGAGCCAATTATTGGAAAGATGTGGAGCAGTAGGAATGTTCATACAGTGTTATTGGAAGTAGTTGTATTTAGGATAATTTAGCAATATCTAGTAAAGTTGAAAATGTGGTTACTCTCTAACCCAGCAGTTCCATACTTAAACCTCTTATAGTCTCTCCTCATGTGTTTAGGGTGATGTACATGAAAGTCTATTTCAGCATTATCTGAGAATGAAAAGTTTAAAGCAATCAAAATAACCATTAGGGTGAATGTAAGTTATAGCCCAAGTTAAAAGGAATGAAGTAGAGATACTTCTTTCAACATGGATAAATCTAAAAAAAAAACCAAAAAACAAAAAACAAACATGAATAAATGTTAAAACAATATTAATGAAATTGAACTAGAGAGTATTTTGTATGAGATGGTACCACTTATATAAAGTTTGAAAATATGCAAATTGATGCTATGGGTATATGGCTAAATACCATATAGATTTAATGTTACAACATTCGTGGAAATAATAATTAAATCCAAAACAGTGGTGACATCTGTCTGTAGGGGGAGAAAAATGAGATTGAGAAAAGGATGCAAAGGGAGATACCTTTTAATCATTTACTTCTTTAAAAAATAAGCAAATATGGCCAATTCTTATAAATTGATAGAGCTGGTTGTTGGTTTATAGATAGGTTCTTATTCTCTGTATCTTTCATAATAAAAAAAAATAAAGAACATTTAAATATTTGCTTTTGTCAGGTTATTTCCTTACTATACCTCAGGCATGACTCTGGTGTTCCCATCCATATTCACCATTCTCTTCAGAGAGAAGCTGACATATAATTGATCATATAGTTTTTCTCTTCATTTTTTTAATGTAGCACATTACATTGATTTTTTTTTTTTAAAGATTTTATTTATTTGAGAGAGAGAGAATGAGAGACAGAGAGCACGAGAGGGAAGAGGGCAGAGGGAGAAGCAGACCCCCTG